ATATATATATATATGCTTGCGATTGTGTCATTCATTTTCCATTTGCCGATTTTGGTGATAACGAACGTCAACTTCATTAAAACGACCAGATGTTTCTCACAAAATAGTGAAAAGGCCTTGGTGACGACGAACCGTGGGACGCTAATTGCCGCTGCCACGTTGCTGAGGAACAAAATGTACAGCGCGGGATTCCCCTCCGTTGCGTAGCAACACGACTGATCGACACGCACTTTTCAACCAAGTCTTGCTGCACAGTCGGCTGTAGCACAAGGCCGATCAGTTATGCGGCGTCATCGTCTAAACACTGGGGGGCACTGTGTCAAAGAGGCACATCGCTAAAAGTCCAAAAAAGAAGAGACAAAGCAGAATGCAGAGAGCGGCTAAAAACAACAAGAAATACGTGGATGCCGTGTTACTCCCTCCGTGCCTTGACATCAAGTGCGTGAAAAGAAACACAGGACTGCCTTGTCAAGTTATAAAATGAATCTACAACAAGTTAACTTGAAGTTTTATCTCATTGTGCAGGTATATCAATTACAGTCTGGAAGTGAACGGGCACAGTCAGGTTGCAATAGTCAATCAGATCACAAGTCTGCATACCTGGGCCAGCTAGAAGGGTTTACGACGAGACTGGCCGTGCACGTTCGGTGATTGAATGAGCGCCTGCTAGAGCTGTCACTGCATTTTAACCCAAAATGGCCGAAGAAGACGTTGATCTGGTTGCAGAACTACTTTCCACACAATTTTCAAGACGGAACTTCCACGAAAAGCTGGATATTGTGCAAAGAGGTCGCCCAACTCCTGCGCTAGCGAGCCTGTCCCAGCAAGGAAAAGTGTTTGTCCGTCATTTTCAGACGAGCAATTATGAACGATACCCGTGGCTCACAGCCTCTGATAAACGCTGCAAATTGTACTTCTGGGAATGCCTATTGCTTGCAACTGACCGATTTGGTGTTTGGAGCCACACCGGATTTACCAATTTAAGTTGTTTTACCAAATCAGCAAGGAAACATCAGAGCACGGCTGGGGCACTTACAAGCTACGGTGCGTTTCAAAATGTTTGGGGACGGACACTCACGGAGATCTGCAGGTCAGTGAACAGGCACTACATTGGTGAGTAAATGAATTTTATTTTACATTTCTTCTTGTCATTTTATTTCGTTAGTATTCAATTAATGGTAACGAAATAAAATGACAAAGATACAAAAATGTATCAAATAAATCTGCTCACCTGCAATTTATAATGGCGCATTGTAGTCACCTTCGTGCACTAAAGTTCGTTCAATCTCAGCTGCTCGACATTTTCAGTTATTTGCTGTTGTATAGCCTATTCTTAAAATGCAAATGATCTGTTAACTTTATTTTCAAAGAATAGTTTGTTTTGTTATTGTTTGGTTGGTGTCTTATATATGAAACTGCGACATTGCGCAATTTATTGGACAGACTTGTTTCAGATCACACAGCGTAATTTGGGTGGCATTTTATTTCGGATTTTTAAATCATCTTTTTGTTTTTGACAATATCTGTAAATTTAGTTCGCTGCTCTTAATTGTCAAATGCACGGCCAGCCACTGTGAGACGTTATATACCCTCTTGAGTGTTTTTTGGAAATTTTTTGCGGTACAAATAGCTATGTTTGTTGTTATACTGTTGCATTTGTGTGTTTTTGAATGAGTGTGCAGTACATCGTCCTCCTCTTGGCTTTTGATGGGCAGTGTCGAACAATGCCCACTGCATCTACCCCCCCCCCCCGCCCCCACGACCCATTGTCAGGGTGAATGTTCCTCAGTGGACCGGTCCCAGGGGGGAAACAATAGTGGAAGAGGAAACAGACACAGACCTACTTCCTATCCAGAATCTAAATTTGGTGAGTGGACATAGTTTTGTTTTGTTGAGGAGCAAAATGGCCAAATTGAGGACTGGCTGCTCGGACTGGATATTGTTACGGATACGGGGAGAGTCGTGTGTCGAAATGAAAGTCCAGGAAACCAAAGAAAATCCACACATTCACACGCACTCCAAACGGTAAACCCTAAAGAACCACAATCACGTAATTCCTTCCAGATAAAACCGTTTGAACCCATTTTTGTTCGCCCTGCTAGGTGCTTATATAACATTTGCGTGCGAACGGCTATTTGCGCTCTTGCGTTTATGTGCCTTCATTAAAATGATTAGAGGGGGCTGAGCTCAGCCGAGGATGCTCGAGCACAGGTCTCGCACACGCCTGATTCAGGTCATGTCAAGTCGTCGTTTTCTTGAAGGAATTATATTACCTTGCTTTAAAAGATGTGCTCACGGGGATGTGTGTTGCAAATCGGGACCTTGCTGAGTGACTTGTCGAGGACTTGTGGCTTTGTCAAACCTTTCTTCGTGTTATCAGCAACCTGTGGCTTACTAACAGAGCGAGGAAATGCATCAGCATTGGCTTCAACAATCTCAGGAAAACACGCTCACAATGGCAGTCGATCCCAAAAGGGTTGATGTCGGACGGTAAGGATGACCTGTCACTCACATCTTCCCACACAGTGGCCAAGTTTATCGTAGTTGAGGAAAACTAACGAAAAAAACAAAACCCTACAATTGAAAAAAATAAAATAAAATTTCGTTTATGAAATAAAATTAAAATGGCTTAAAAAATCATTTATTTTGAGAACACTAACTATAATTGTTGTGAATATCCTTTGTTTCATTTCATTATTCGGGGTTGATTTAGACATTTTTGGTGGGTATTTTTGTTTGGCCGTACAGAAGAACGAAAGTTGAACGGTCATTTGGAAAAGGTGCTTTACTTTTTTATACAAAAGCTAAAACTAACAATTAAACCTCAACTGAAATAAAACCTTTCCCCCCCCCAAAACCTTTTAAAAAATAACATGAGCTCAATTAAAAAAAATAAAAAAACAAATGTCAAAATGAAATAAAAACAAACTATGATGAAAAATCCCCCAAACTATTCCAACCCTGCCCGTCAATCCTAATCTTAGTCTCATTAAATGACTTTCATGACGGACTCTGACAACCCGTGTCTGATGAAATCATCGGTCATCACAAAATAGAACGGCGGCACTTCAAGCTCGCCAGGAAAACAAACGCTCAAGCCGGCCGGTTTGGCGGCTCAAATGACACTCCGGGGTGTCGACCCCGGCAATCTGTTGAATGCCCTCCTCCCGATCGCCAGCGCCTCCCTGTTTGCCTTGGCGAAAACACCCACAGGAACAATAACAGGGCTGTGCCCACGCGGACGGCTGCACTCCCGCGCCCACCCACCCTGACTAAGATGATAGGCCTGCGCGTGAATCCCAGCCAACTTGTAGTGAATAGACTTGGAAAGAGCCAACTTTGGAAGCTTCTTTGGATGGTTTAGCGGAACAATATCTGCCAATCTTTGACAGTGCCCGAACATGATCAAAGTTCCTCTTTGAAGCCGGTCTTCCTATTATTGTGCAATTGTATCATGTTTCCATTCAACTCCCGTAAAGCCAACGGCTCAGAGTCTTGCTGCTTTTTTTTTTTTTTCCTCCTCAATTGCTTGCCATAAAGATGGCGAATGAGTGGAAACATGGTCAGCAAACAGAGTGCGAGGTCAACACGCAGTAATTGATCGCTGTCACTCCCCGTGCGGCAGTCGTCGGACATATCAGGGAGGTGATCCAGTCATTCGTTTGTGTTTATCATAACTTTATTTCATTCAATACAATAAATAAACCAATTGATATAAATACATATTGCATGGATTTGATCACCTTCTGTATGTAGCACCTTTAGCTTATCTTGTTTGCTGTCAGACCCATTTCAAGCATTCTTCCAACAGGAAGCTTAGTCAGCGGTGGCTTCGATACTCGGGGATATACGATTGGGATCGTAGTGACCCCTTTTAGAATCCTCCGGAGGTCCACGGTTTGGATCCCCTTCTGGTATGTAGCCCCCTGACCCCCTAATCCAAGTCACCAAATGGGAGCGGGTGAAATGGGGAAGCAAGCGCGGGTGCGCATGCACGCATCCGCACAGCCACGACGCTCTTGGGAGCAGAGCTGAAACCAGAACATTCCATCGTGCGGGCTGAGAGGGCCTCCGGGGATGACAGCGTGGACCTCAGGGGAATTTTGATCCAAAATATTGTACTGTGTGTCCCCCCCCCGCCCAAACATATTCGAGCTATTCGGTATCTCATGATCGTCAAGTTTTTGGTTGCCTTGGGGAGCGTATTCCAAATGAGGTCCGTTATCAGGCCCTGTTTTGAAGCGTGCTCGCTGCCTCCGAGGCAATGGGCTCACAGTGCAACTCTTGTCTGTTATTTCAGTTCTAATCGGGCCGCTCTTTTCCGCCAGCGTCATGTGCAAACAAGCATGTTTGAAAAAGAAAACAATTTTCCTCGAGTCGCAGTCAGACATAGTGCTTCTGTTTTGAAGCCCCCCCGCGGTTGTTCTTCGCCTTTTGCCCATAGTGCTTCCGGGGTGAGCGCGACGTCCTCGCGGCCTCCATGCAGTTCGTATAGCTCGGAAGCACGTCGCTTCCGGCCGCCGCGGGTTCCCACTTGACCGTTATGGCCACATCGCCAAAGCTCTCGCAGGGGTTGGTGTAGCACGCGGCCTGGCCTGGCACTGACACCGGTAGGCTCCCGTTGTTGTAGGGCTCCGGTGTCTCCTCTCGGGCCTGCGGTCGGGCCGCCGCCTCCGTGACTGGCACAGACCGTGGCCGGTGCGCTCGGTACCGTCTCTTCAGCCGGTGGGAAATCGCAAGCTGAAGCAGGTGGAGGAGCTCGATCAGGTTGAGCAGCAGGGAGACGGCGGCGATGGCCTGAGTGTAGATGGTGAAGATGGTCTTCTCCGTGGGTCGGGAGACGAAGCAGTCCACCGTGTGAGGGCAGGGGAAGCCCACGCACTCGAACTTTGCTTCGATTAGGAAGCCGTCATAGAGGAACCACAGGCCCAGGATGAAACCCACCTCCAGGAGCACTTTCAGAAGGATGCTGAACGTGTAGGCGCATAACAGCTTGCCCTTCAGTTTGGGAGCTTCTGGCGGGCTGCGCTCAGCGCCGCTTCCTTTCCCGTCTTTCTGCCTCTCTGTGACGGGCTCCGTCTGACTCGCGCCGCCTTCTTCCACCGGCTTGCTCTCCTCTTTCCCCACGTCTCCCTTCCCCGACCGAATCGCCACGTAGCCAAAGTAGAAGATGGTCGGCGTGGAGACGAAGATGACTTGCAGGACAAAATAGCGAAAGTGGGAGATGGGGAAGGCTTTGTCGTAGCAGACGGCGGTGCAGCCCGGTTGTCGCGTGTTACATATGAAGTCGGCTTGCTCGTCGTCCCAGGCGGACTCGACCGCTGTGCCGAGCACCAGCATGCGAAACAGGAAGAGAACGGTGAGCCAGACGCGGCCGATGCCCGTCGAATACTCCTGGCCCTCCTCCAGCAGGTGCTCCAGAAAGGACCAGTCAGCTCTGGACATCCTCTGCTCCTTCCAGGACAAGGACCAGCAAAGAACAAGGATAAGAAATGGCGAGGAATCAAAACCTCATCCGAACTCATATGGGAATGTTCACAATTTAAAGGAGCTAAAATGTGCCAGGACAAAAGCAGCGCCCCCCTCTTTTTTTTTTTTTCATCTAATAGTCAGTTCTTTGTGTTCAAATTGGAAACATCTCTCAAGTACGCTTTTCAACAACACTTAACACCTAACCGGTATTTGATTTTGGCACCGGGCGCTTTAACGAGCACGCAGCTAATGCATAAGTGCGTTATTGTGTGGGTCCATTAAAGACTCCGGTTGGTGGTATCCCTCCCCGCGCTTTATTAGCTTCGTTGGCTTTGGCTATTGCCCCCCTTACGGCTTCTTCCATGAGCTCAGTTGTTTGTTCCAGCGGGCTTGAAACCAAGACCTCCACGCTCACAAAAACAAGTATAGCGACCGCGCTTCAGCCGTGACGTTTAACATGAATGGAAGTAGGAGCAGCCGGCGCTTTTTTTGGGGGTGACGTCGAAGCTTTCCCAGCAGTGGTATTTAACCTCAATGAGAACAAATGGCTGCTTCAACGTGAATCTTCATTTGGGGATAAAATGATTGCTGTAATTGCAGCGTGACTCGAGAGGACTCGTGTGAGGAGAGGCGTGGGGGGTATTTTAATGATAATGACACAGTAGTTTGTCGGGAAGCTCCGCGTACACACGAGCACAACTTAGATACATCTGAGTAAACATCCTGTGAGGGGAGACTGGGGTCCCGCTGTGACACTTGTTGACTTATTTAGATTACTTGATGTTTTTTTTTTTTCTGTTAGCTCAGCCCTTCTGAAAAAAGGAAACATCAACAGTGGGCAAAATAAATCCCACATCTATTCAATTAGTTAATAGTTGTTTGAATGCTCGTCCCCACTTTGGTTTTCCTTTCAACAGAATACAGATCTTCCTCTCAAATCCTGACTAAGTCAAAAGGTAAATTAAAGTGAGTAGTACCAGAAATAATACGAAAAAAAAATGATGCAAACATCTTTAAATATAAAAGAAATACCAAGTAAAAAAAGGATGAACAAGTTCAAAGTATTAACGCGGCAACGAGTTAAAGAGGAAATAGTCATTCGTAGTCAATGGGAATATTTTACTTATTCTAAAGGGACCAATTTTAAAATATAGTAATGTTAGAAATGATTACAAATTGAAAAGTGAAATAAAAATAAAGAATCCACAAGTACAATGGATTATTCTTATTATTCTTATTATTATTGTTTTTACAGATGAACAGGTTCTTTGAATATATGTGACTCGAGCCCAAACACATTGAGGCCAGTTAAGTCCGAACACAGGATGACCAATATTTACTGTATTATTACGTTCAACAAACAAACAAACAGAAAAAAAAAGACGTTTATCCAGATCCAAATCCGTTTCAAACAATGTTTACCTTTCTCTCTCGTGGAACGTCTCAGTCTCCCAGCTACCTCCTTCAATGCTCCTCTGAATCCTTTCTGCCTTCTTTAAAAAGATTCCGTGTCATCGGAAAAATAAAGTGAGGAGAACTTTTCCCATGCTACAGAGTTCACTATTTGGCCCTCCCTCAGGAACTTTGTCCAGGAAATGGGATGGAGCAACTCTCAAGTATATGCCCCTCATTTGCGCTCCAAATTTGGCAGCAGTTGACCACCACCATATTTTATTTATTTATTAATTTTTGGGTTTGTCGTTTACATGGATGGCTCCAAGGTTTTTTTCTTTCCTGAGGCAAGGGGAGAGGGGTGGGGGGGGGGATTCACGTGTATATAAGAAGAAATTGGAGATAATTCATATTTATATTTTACAATATCAAATGAAATGCTTGATGGGGCTTCACTCGGTCTACACTGGACGCACGTGTTCTTTCAATAAATAGACACTTTAATGAACAGTTTGGTGGACGAATCGTATTTTTCTCCTTGAAAAAGAGTTTAATAATCCGTAAAATTCATAATCTCCATTTCAAATCCAGAAATCCTTCACCAAGCACACAATTCTTCACTTGTTGGCCCTCAGTACAAGTTCATGATCCAGATTGTGTGACCAGTCTGGTGTAGTTTTCCATGACACCACGCGAGGGCACCAGTCACCTAAACACAAAAACAGTATCTCATGCGGGAGGACTTCTTTTGTTTGTTTTGCAGCAATGGTTTTAATTGACCTGTTAAAAGTTTACACCCGATCTCTAGCAAAGACCCAGCTCCGACTACGATCCATGCAAGAGGCACACTCGCCAACGTGGGAGAGATGGAATCGCTAATGCTGCATTGCCAATAATTCCAACGGGTCCCTAATTTGTTACTACTCATGTGTGTGTTAAAGGTGGTAAGATATAATATGCTTTTTGAATCTCATGTTAGGAGAAAAAGATATAGTAGGGCGGGTATATGCCACTACTCTATTTCAAATGTACCTTCTAATCTATTAAATTTGAACCTTTATTTTTATTTAATAAGACCATTAGAAGGTAACATTTCTCTGTTAATGTTAAAAAAAAAAATTATCAAGGGGTTAATCTTTGCAGGTGGTGGCACACCTGAAACTGTAGTTGTGAATTGGGGTAACTTTCCCCTGCACTGATTGGTCGGCCAAGTTGTGAACAAGGGCCACCAATCAGCAAAGAGCAGGGGAGAGCTAAGATTAAAAAGAGCACACACAAAAATAAATAAATCGTGGACGTAACAACTTTGTTTTGAAGTTGAGCTAATGCAGAAGCGTTTTTTTGTTTTTGTTTTTTGTGTGGTTTTTTTTCCGCCCAAAGTTTGCACCTACTGAATATGCAAATTCAATATACCAGTAAAAACATTTCCGGAAGCCAAGATGTTCTCTTATCAGCGCACATTGCTGTTTTGAGCAACCACAACACCGAAACGGTTTATGATTATCTGCAAAAACATCGGGTGCATACAAACAGACGTTTCAACACAAGCGTGCAAGTTGTAAATATATTCCCGCATGACCGTGACACCTAAAAATGGCCGATGCTGCCATCAGCCGGACACACCACTAAGTCAAATTAAAGTGTTTAGCCATGGGTCATCTCCTCAAGGTTCAACCCAATCAACGCCGAACCGCCGTGTCCCAAAATGGAGATTGGAAGGGCGGCAAAGGGAAGGTGCGCTGTCAAAATCTAATTGAAAGTAAATCATCTTGACAGATCACTGTCTTGCTCCGTTCTTGGCCTCATTCCATCGGCGGCAAAGGAAGCGTCGAGCTCGCGTAATACAAGTGTTTGCATTCAGGGGGGAAGTATTCTGCTTTCTCGTGTTTGCAGTCCTCCTCCCTGCGCGTGCAGTTTGCAATTAAACTAATTGCCTGGCTCAGCCCAGCCAGTCTCTCACCGCCGGCCCTGCAAAACTGCTCTTTATTGCTATTGCTACAATCACAATCTAAGCGCGGATATCTTGTGTACACATGCACCAGGTGACATCATTCGTTCAATATATAGATACAGTACACACGCACGCAGCATACAATATATGTAGATAAAATGCAGCAGAACTGCTCTCTTTATCCCCGTGTTGCCATGAGCCGTTTGTTCTCAGTCAAGGTGTCACATCAACATGAGTGACGAGTGCCACGACCTTGTTTGTTGTCGGATAAACTACGCGTGACACCGGCAGGGCTTTATAGCTTAATGAGGAGCATTCATGAAGTTCATCACCTTTGTTTGGGAATCAACGAGGCGCTGTTGTTTTTGAAAATCAACTCATTCTGTCTCGTGGCGATGATCAACTCTGACCAGAGGGTGAAACCAAACGATTGTATCAGGAGCTTTTGTGGGATTATTTAGGAAAAAAAAAAGTTTGACTGCTCAATGAAGAATCTGACAAAAGATTTTGTTGTGTTATTTTTCCTCATGATGGCTTTTTTATGGAGGCAAATGGCAAGCAACCAGCTAAAAAGACGATGCCAACCCAATAAAAGCAAACGTGATTTCCCTTTGGCCTTCTACTTTGACTGAGCATTTACATGCGATGAGGCGGACGCGGTCAGAGCATGCGACGAATTTCCTCGAGTCATCCATCAGTGAATAATGGTGAGAAATCATTGGCATCGCTTACGTCACACCATTATAAGCTATCGAACATGATATATAGAAGCTAGAATGGGACAAAGCTTTGTGGCGCATGCTTAGGTCACTGGCCGTGGTGCTGAAACCATTCCAATCAGGCCTGCGTAAAACAGCTCAGGTCTTACCATCACCGTACAAATTATATTATTGACAATGACATCATATCTCATTAACCATGCAGGTGAGGAACTCAATCACACTCTATTTTCGATCCTTTCTATTTCAGCCAAATGAGTTCAGTGTCGGGCCAAAATGAAGGGACTGACCTCACCGCTGAAATGGATACCACGCACGTATGTTATCCGTTCCATTTTGAAGCGAGAAGAGTTGAGAAACGAAGCTCGATTGCGGCAGTGAGATCACCTGAGGTCTCACTGGGCGCAGCTTGCAGTGGATTCATGGACGCAATATAGGAAATGAACATCCACGGCCTTGTGCAGCACCTGTGAACGATCAAGGTGTTTGTGAGGATCATCATGTCCACTTTCTTGTTTCGCTTCGACATGAGCCGAGCGCATCAACTTGCCCTGTTTTTGATCTAATTTTCTAGATTTGGTTAAAGGGCTGACGACGCAGCCGACTGGTCCTCAAGTGTTTCGCGACGCCCTCCGAGCCTGTCGAGTGCCTCAAGTGGAAGAAGAGGAAATGTAGGTCATGATTATTGTGTTGCTTGAGTTCAGAAAAGCAAGCACAAAGTACATTGGGGTTTTTGGTTTCTTTTTTTCTAGGTAACAGTTAAGTTGAAATGACTTCTTCAGTGATGCCATGAGGCGATTAGCACGTATAGCACACTGGAAAACATTTCGGCAGTCATCAAATGGCCGTATTGGCCTATTGTTAGAACAGGCGCTCTCTCACTCACTCCATCTCGGTGACCCATTTAGAGTCGTGTCTAAGTCAAGTGCTCGGTGTCGGTGACTTTGAATGCCGGAAGAAAGATCCGGCGTGACACCAGCGTTTTGGCTATTAATGTACCGAACAGAGTCACAATCTTTCCTGTCAACTTCAATTATTAAAAGTTACAGTAAACAGCCACAGATGTCATTGCGTGGGAACAGATTCAGACAAAATTTGGAGTCGCTCGAGAATAGGGGTTGGTTTCAACGTTGCCGTGATGCCTTTGAGCAAGGCATCGAGGCGGAAAACTCGCAGTTTGGCTTCGAAACATATCTTTGGCCATACCCCTCCCGGTCCTTTTCCGACACACCTTGTAAGTCTGAATGTGAATGACACGTTCGATGATTTTTACGTTCGATGACTTTCCAAACTTTTGCTTCAGGCTCCGCGATGCAGAGTTTGTGTTAATGTGCACGCGGGGTTGAATCAGGCACGGGTAAACATAGACACCAAGTGGTGCTCTGGCACCAGCCCTTTGCCTGGAGCTTTAAAAGTAAAAAAAAAAAAAAACAATCACCATGTGCAAATGTACATATTTTATGACACTTCAAGCTTGCTTACAACGAGCAGTGCATACTGAAAAAGGCTTTGAGAGTTTTTTTTTTCCTGCTGCTCTCTCCAATGAAATGTTCTTTTCGTTCTCGGGCCATGTCATCTCAGTATATATCCTGTGAAAGTTCACCCTGAGGATACACTTGCATTTGGAATGCAGTTATTATATTTGTAACGAGAAAAAAAAAATCCAAATAAAAAAAATCTAATGTTCAAGCTGGTGTATGGAGTAGGCCTTCCAATCGGTTGCATAGTACATGTCTTTGGGGAGCTCGGCATGTGAACCACATATGGAGGGGAAGAGCGAGGGAGGAGGGCTGTGTTTGAGAGAGAGAGAGAGAGGGAGAGAGAGAAAGAGAGAGAGAAGAAGAAGAGCGCGAGGATGTAGCGCCGCTGCCTTTCACTGCTGTGTCTCAATCCTTGCCTGCGCAGCGGTCGGGGGAGCTGCATGAAGAGGCGGACGTTTGTGACACCCCATTGAGCATTACAACCGAGGTAAGAGGAAGCTGAGGTGAAAGTTGCTCATTTGCAATGCCGGTCAAGCAGCCCGACTCTTTTTTGAACAGTGCCGTAGGTGGTCAGATGAGATTTGGTGCAGATGGGCTGTTTGGTGCATCCCAACTGAGTGGTGGTGGTGGTGTGTTGATTGCCGTTGCATGTCTTCGTGTCTTGCAGCTGTGTCAACTTGAAAAAAAAAAACTGTAGTAGTTGGAGCCGACCTTACAACACACACATTCCATCCGTGCGTGACTGTTCGCTGACCGTGAAAGGGCGCGCTTGCTTCTATGCGGCTTGGGCTGCTGTGTTTAAAGTCGGAGGAAACACAGGAGGCAGCAGGCGGAGCTATTGCAATTATTTGCACTGCGCTGCACGATGGGAAGGGTTCAAAATCAATCACGTGAACACTTGGGCCTCGCTTATCCTCCAGGGGTGCTGCTAATAGCGGATGCCGTGTGCACGTATTCATCTGCCGGCTTGTGCGTGCGGCTAAATGTGTACACTTATGAAGAAGC